CAATATCGATGCCAAAGCGGAATATCCACGGATAGAAGGCAATGCTATGTATTTGGTGAGATTAGAAGGATATAGTATACCATAAGCTGTTGAAATCTGGTCAAACAGTCATAGGGTGTCTCTACCGAGAACAAATTTTCCGTTTGAATCGAGTATGGCACGAAAAACGACCAGAATATGAAACGAGACAGCATAAAATGATTTTGCTTCGTGACAACGCTCGGCCTCACGTCACAAAACTTGTCAAGGAAATATTATAAGCACTGCACTGGGAAGTGCTACCCCATGCAGCTTATTCACCAGATTGTGTCCCTTCCGACTACCACTTGTTTCAGTCGATGGCACACGCACTTGCTGAGGAACGCTTTAATTCTTATGAAGACGTCGCAAAATGAGTCTCTGACTGGATAGCCTCCAAAGATGAGTCATTCTTTCGACGCGGAATTCGCTTGCTGCCCAAAAGATAGGAAAAAGTCATCGCTAACAATTAATCGATTTGAATCGTGTTTTGAGCTAAAAATGTCCAATAACTCAAAGAAAATGCAACGTGATTTTGTTGCACAACAATGCTCGACCACACGTTGCAAAAGAAGTTAAAGATATGTTATCGCTTCAATGAGAAGTCTTACCACACGCCACATATTTACCAGACTGTGCTCCTTCAGATTATCATTTATTTCGATCGATGCAGTACAGCCTTGCTAACCAGCACTTCAAAATATGAAAAAATACAAAAAATAATTCAATGAATGGATTACTTCGAAGGATGAACATCTTTTTTATCGCGGAATTCACTTATTGCCAGTAAAGCGAAAAAAAGTTATAACTAGCGATGGAAAATATTTTATATCAAATATAATTTAACGTCTCTTTAAAATAAATATGATTTTTTTTATAAAAGTCCCTCAAAACTAACCGAAACACCTAATATATGTGATTATATATGGGTATGTATAGACAAAATTCATATATAACCATTTTTTCCCGGAATTGCATTTGGAAATCTGGGACGATTTAGGATATCCTCAAGATGAAATATGGTATACATATGAGAAATTTCTTAATATTTGAAGCATGTGAAAGATATCGCAAAACTTATGAGAGCAAATATTGTGTCGACGGATTCGAGTCAAACATCAATTTATACGAGATCGATAGAGTCATCAGAAAAAAGAATCCGCAAAGGTTAATAAATACGGCTGCTAATGCAAGAACGCGAGAGGAAACTTGGACCCGATTTATCCGCGGTATGGCAGGAGGGAATAAACACATCGGCGGGAGAACACACGCTCGGTTCACAGGATGTGTCCTTCCTCCCGAGCGCACTTGGACAACGAGGCATTCAGCGCCAAAGATTCTAACAGTTAACCAGAACGGTAAATCGCATATACTACCGTAAGAATACTCACTGTTTCTTTATATTTCGGCTCTGATTGACAAGCCATAGGCGACCTTTTGTTGGTCTCGAAATTCCTTTTGTAACAAAAATCTCATTCATTAATGCGTAAAACGTAACGATTACTTATAAAACATTTCGCATAGGCTTTCTGACGTCGATATAAATCTATAGAAGATTTAGCTATAGAACAAAGGACCATCGGAAGGAACAAAGGACCTTGGATCATCTTCAAGGAGACTAACATACGACCCGGAACGCGGGATATTTTTCGCTTCCGAAACACACTGTATTTTTCTCCACATACTTATAGAATAATAGTAATAATAGTAGTAATAAGAGTACTAACCTGTCATATTTACATAATTCTGACGACTTATAGTACAGTAATGCATGTTTCAACAGCTAATGATAACAGAATATTGTATACAAAGCATATACATTATTTCCCTATCATACTTTCTGAGGAACAAAGAACAATAAAAATCTGCACTCTGTGGAAATAAATCGTCCTTAAAAAAAAAACAGAATTACGTCATATCTATCGACTAATTATCCTGCCGATTGTCTGCTCAGGAATAACACGATGTTCATTTTCTCTCGATATTACAAAAAACAGTCATGGAAGAGCAAAATTATTGATTCAGATATAAACATATTCTTCGAACCGATCAAGAAAGAAACAACAGATATCTTCGAGAAAGAAAAATTTTTTGCTTCTCCGTGTAACGGAGTAACAAAAAATACCCCACGAGTCAATTTAATCCAGATCTGATAGTTTGCACTTTACAATAGATTCCGTTTACTGCCATCCTCACTCTTCTTGTTTTATAACATCTAGGTTCCTCTCGGAGACGTAAGACGTTCTCAGAGATAATATAAGTTACATTGAGGAAAAAATTTGTTTAATTTTAATAAATATATTTACTAAAATTAGATTTACTTAATTTAAAGAAATATTATTTAAATATAAAAATTGTTTACTTAATTTTAGTAAACTGAAGCATCAAACATTTTTTAAATAACTTATTCTTGAAAGGTTTATTTCAATTAAACTCAGGTTTACTATATTATAGTGCAATATTTACTGAAATCTGATAAATGAATGTTTTAAATATTGAACCTGGATCTTTTAATTAAAAAAAAAGACGTTTTAACAAATATTAAATTCATGTTTTCAAACTATCGAAAGTAAGAAGTAGTATATTTAAAAATAATATATATTTTTTCAGTATAACTTATTACATTTCGAGGAATATATATTTGACAGTGCTACTCTATTTTTTTTCTTTAATATTTGTAACAACATCTAAAACACTTTACTAATTTATATATTGATATTATTTCTATTATAAAATTAAGTAAACATTCTGATAGAGTTTGAAAACATGTGTAGACAATAAGATGTATTAGTCAATTAAGACGAAATAATTCAGAAGACATAGCTGACTCCAGATTCAGAAGTCCCGAGTTGAAATTCGATCAGTGTTAAGCAAATTTTTTCAAGTACAACATAAATGGAATTAATTAAATGGTATATTATTGAAAAAGATTT